GAGCCCTGGCAGAAGCACTGGGTGGACGTGTCCAGGGAAACCCCCGCACGCCGAGACCACTCCCTGGCAGAAGCGCTGGGTGGAGGTGGGGGAAACCCCAGTGCCCAGACCCCCGCTGCAGCCTTGGGACTGGAGGGCTCTTGCTCCCAGCCAAGGCCTCAGAGATAGAGGTGAGAGCAGTGGAGGGGTGACTCAGGACAGCTGGGTTCTAGCCCAGGTTGTGGGAGGGCAGTGGAGTCTAGAGGGTTAGAAATGCTGGAGTGTTGGGAGCCAGGGGTCTGGGTTCTATCCCTGGCTCTGGCAGGGGAGAGGGGGCTAGTTTTAAAGCTGTGGTTGTTTCTTAGGTGGTTTCTTTGCTAAGACAGTGTCCAAATGGTCATTGCCATTTATGGTTTGCAGCTTCTCCAGCTCACAGACCAGGTGGAGGCGGAGCGTGTAGAAGACACAGAGTTAAGGGAAGTGACCTCAACACACAGGACAACACAGACTCACGGACACTTTGCTGCGGAAGCACACACCATCCGAGTCTCTCTCTGCGCTGGGTCCGGCGCTGCCCAGGTGAGTCGAGACAATGGGCAGAGGCCCCTCCTTGGGTCTGAAGGGGAATTTCTTTGCTAAACCTATCTAGGAGCCAGAGACATTTGCTATTACCAAGGCAAACCAGTGGGACTACCTGCCACTGGGTATTAATGGGGTAAACATGGGGACTCAAAAGACAGAGTTAATTGGTTGGATCTGTGACCTGGGTGAATTTTTCTCTCTTGTTTCATGTTCATCAGATGAGGTGTTTTCTATTTATGAATCTCTAAACCACAGGACTGCACGTCCCTCCCACAGCTCAAGAGTTCTGACCTCCCACCCCTGCTAAATTGCTCCCCAGAACTGGGGATAAAACCCAGGGGGCCTGGCTCCCATACCCCCTTACCTAACCATTAGGCCATTCTGCAGAGTACAGAGGTCTCCAGTCTAACAAGTCTGGGGGGGTGCATTCTGTGACAGAGGCAATAGCCCAGAGGTCCCTGGTGCAGAGCTGCAGCACGGCTGTGGGGTAGATAAGCAGCTCGGTGGATTGAGGCTTCCTGTGATACAATGAAGTGATAACAACCCTGCACACTCTCTCGAGTCAGGGTGTAGCAACAATTACTGTGACAGGCAGATGAGCACAAGATGGGTGGGGGTGGAGTGGCTTTTTCTACCTTGTAGCAGTGAGTTCCACAGGCATCAGCTCCAGCATGCTAGGAGCCAACAGCACCGATCCCCACCTCCCTTAGCCAGGCAGTCCTAGGTCCTGAAGCCAGTTCAGAGTCAGTGCCTCCTAGTGGGGAAAGGCCCCGTGTCCCATTCCCTGCCCCATTGAGCCAAACATCCCTCCTTTCCCCTTCCCCACTTGTTGCACGTCTGCTATCCCTCTTTCCCTCCCCTGCTGCCCTTAGCTCCATCTTGTAGCTGTGAGTTCCTCTGGCCAGGGCCCCTTGCTGAGCATACCCAGCCTGGACATTCTGGAGAACCAGAGGGTGCCCAGAGAGGTCCGCTCCCATAGTGCATTCCTAACCCTCTCTGTTAATTTGCCCTTCCTCCTCTTCCAGTCTCCCTTCTCCCCTCCTCTGTTGTCCCTCCAACCCCTCTTCTGCCCGCTCTCTGTGTGCACCTGTAAGCTGCTTAAGGGAGGTTTTCTGATCTTTTAATCTTTCTCTTGGCTCTTCTCTGACCCCTCCCTGATTGATCACCATCCCCCTGGGACTGTGGGCACTGGAACGGGACATAGGATGCTAGCAGGGGTCTAGCAGGTCTAGTGTTCTAGATCCTAGCAGGGGGGTTGTGGGTCAGAACTCCTGGGTTCTTTCCCTAGCTCGGGGAGGGGAGTGGGTTCTAGTGGTTAGAACATGGGGGAGGGGCCAGTAGCCTGATCTCCTGGGTTCTATTCTGTTTATAAGGTGGATTGTCTTTGGCTGGGTGGTGAAGGAGATACTGTTCTTCCACTGCTGAGGCATGAGGGTCCCAGTATCTCTGTCTGCCCCCCTTTCTCCAACCTCTTTTGGTCCCTCCCTCCTATGCCAAGGATCTCCCCTGCCCTGACACTGCTATCAACCCCCGCACCATCAGAGGATCCATCTCTGGCCACCCCCAGGTGGGTGGGAGGGGAAATCATTTCACAGCTGCGAGTTTTCTTCTTTGCCATTATCCTGCCATGGGCAGATGGACCTGCGGGTGCTGGAGCTGAAAATGAGGAGCACAGTGACCAGCCAGTGGTTCCTCTACCTGGTTCTCAGCCCCCTGTTCTCCTCCTATTGTATACCGGTGTTTGCTGCTGTTCCCCTGGATCCAGCGTCCCTTAGAGGGGAAAGGCCCCTTGTCTCTTTCCCCACCTCCCTGAGCCAGCCAAGCAGCCAGGTCAGAGCCACATCATTTTCTCTGTGTGGTTCTGTGTTTGACCCTGTAGACTATTTCCCCCTTCTCCGCTCCTCCCACGTGCACTGTCCTCCTTTCCCCTCTGCATCTGCCATCCTGTCTTGTAGCAGTGAGTTCCAGCAGTGAGGCAGGGTGCTGCAGAGTGACCTCTGGCCACAAGGGGGCACTCGAGTAGCAGGCACCGTGTTACAGAGACCCACGGGTAAATGCCACTCATGTCCAGTGGTGGGGGGTTCCCTGGGTTAATGCCACTTATGTCCAGTGGCAGGGGGTCCCGTGGGTTAGCCACACCGAGGAATAGATCTTGCGATTGGTCATCTGCTTCAACGAGGAAAAACATCTATTTGCCCTGGGACTTTTCCTTTCCGGAGTTGCACCCTGGCAAAGTGATTGCATTTGCCACACCTTGGGCATTCGTGCCCACATGCAGGATGGTTCCATTTGGCATTTATAACAACCCTTCCTTGCCTCTGGCTTCTCTTGTTTTCACGGCTCTTGATGGCAGCCTTTTTTTTAGCAGCAGGACGCCCTCCCGCCCGTGACCGCAGATCTGGGTGCTTATGAAAGGCGGATTTACACAGCCACCTACGTACGTGGTTTTCTGGCTCACCCGGCCTCTTTGATTGTCTTGCTGTGGTTTCAGCTGCCTGCTGTATGGCCCACAGCACATGCAAGGAGTTCAATTGGTCTCCGTCACTGCCCTAGCTCACGCCGAGTCTGACACCATGCCACACACAGTCCTTAATGCAGGAGTCCCACACGTCTCCACATTCACAAGATCACGCTGCCAGGTGTAGACCAATTTAGAACTGATTTATACTTTCCCCATCTGGCTGACTTCCAGTGCAAAATTCCTGCCTCTCGGGATGCTTCTCCACCAGGCACAGCACCACCACTTATTCCTTAAGACTTGTGTATTTTTCTTTGCCACATTATCAATTTGAAACCTGTTCAATTTCCTCTCCCGCCTGCCACCTGGGGAAACCAAGCTGTTGGCAGCCGTTCGTCTCTCTGTCTGCACACTGCCCCCTCAAATCATGGCTTCCACTTTCTCCGGTTCTCTCCATAGTGCTATCCCCAAATGTTCAAAAATCCTGAGTCAGGCTCCCCCAAAATCACGAGATCACGTAAACAGACTCGATGGGGGGGTTATTTATTTGCCTTCTGCTTTTTGAGCCTGTAGGGGGCACTGGGGGCACATTTGGAAGTTTTCTCCACCGCCATGAGGGTTAGAAACTTCCTTTTTTTTTAAAGAGAGAAGGCTGAAATCATCACAGATCCATTGATTCCAGGAGCTGGGGCTTTAAGGAAAACAATACAGATCATGTGACCCATGACAGACCCATGAGAGTTGGTAACACCGTTTTGTCGAACGCTGACCTCGCAGGAGATGCTAGTTGGCCCGTTCTTGTTTGTTCTCTTTTCTTACTTTTTGTTTCGTTCTGACACCACAGCAACAACTGTTGCCAACAAGCTATTATAAGAAAAGCCGCAGTCCCCTCCAGCCCGCATCTGCGTGGTCAGGTCACACTTTGTTCTAGTTGGATCTTGTTTGCACACACACCTGCCCCCAGTTGCTATATTGGATCTGGACAACGGCAACCACAAATGGAAGCCACAGCTCAGACTCCGTCTTAGCAGGAAAACCCACAGCAGAAAGTTCAGCTGCTTAAAAAACAGGCTGAGGTTGTAGCTTAGCAGAGCCTGGGTCCTTGAACTGGAGGGGAGGGACGCATAATTATGCAGGGCCCCAGCTGTATCCCCTCAGCAAGTGCGACCATCCTCAAACCCCGGAAATGCCCCAGACCTGTGAGTTTTTGAGTCCTGCCCGGGGCAGGTTTTGCTCTGCAAACTCCTCCTCTCCCTCGCTCCTGAGGACAAAGGTTTGCTCGAAGAGCCGATGTCTCAAAGGCCTCTCGAATCCATGTGTGCAGTCGGATTGTCTTGAAACGTGCATTGCCCCATCAGCAGTGGGGGGACAGCGAGCAAGGACCATCCGGGACCATTTAGTCAAGAGGCCCTTTACTACTGCTTCCCCCTCCCCCACCCCAAAGAGCTTCTCTGAATTTTTTGACTGCTCCAAAAACCACATGGAGGCTGGCAACCTCTTGAATGATGGGAGAGTGCCACAGGGACTATGGGGAGATTGCACAGCTGGAAATAGGACCCAGGATTCCAGACCCCCGGCCTCTCCTGCTCTAACCAATAACTCCCACTGCCTTCCCAGGGCTGAGGATAGAACCCAGGAGTCCTGCCTCCCAGCCCTCCCTGCTCTAGCCACTAGACTCTTGGTCAGGAGCTCATCTACTGGGACATGCCTGTATGAAGAGAAAGGGCCCATGATTCCAGAAAATCCTTTCCCAAGGGAACAGAACAAGAGCACTGAGAGAAACTCTCACCAAAGGCTGAATCACCAGGACAAAACTCCTGCCCAAGATGGGGAGTGGGGTCTAGTAGTTAGAGCGAGGTGAGGGGGAGGCTGGGAGCTAGGACTCCTGGGTGCTCTCCCTAGCTCTGGGAGGGAAGTGGGGTCTATGGGGTGAGAGCAGTAGGGGGCTGGGAGCAAGGAAAAGAGAATTGAGAGTTCCTGTGTGTTATCAACATGTTGTGGCTGCATCCCTAGGTGAAATGCTTCCACTTCCTGTTCTAGGTGTAACGCGCAGCCCCCCTCAGAGTTTCATTACAGACCCCATACTCAGTCCTGGAACCCTGAACCCCCCCGAGGGGAACCCAACTTTCTGGAGAAAATGACCTCCTGACTACATGGTAAGTGAGAACACGTGCCCCACGCTCCGGAGCCAGCCAGTCCCCCAGATCAAAGACACGAAGCATTCTCTGTGTAGCTGTGGGTTTCAGCCCATAGACTATTTCCCTTCCCCTACTCCTTCCTCTCCTCCTATTTTCAATATCACTCTGTTCCCCCAGCCACCTCCCATAGCTCTATCTTGTAGCAGTGAGTTCCACTGGCCATGGCCCAGTTGCTGAGAATACCCAGTCTGGATATTCTGGAGGACCAGAGGGTACCCAGAGAGGTCCGCTCCAATCGTGCCTTCCTAACCCCCTCTTATTTCTCCCTACCTCCTCTTCCCCTCCCCCTTTTCCCCTCCTCTGTCATCCCTTCCAACCTCTCTCCAGGGCACCATGGACCAAGGCAACACGACTCTCCAACCAATCACTGGGGCGAATTCCAGACAGACCCCAGCAGCCATGAGGGCCACTCACCTGGCTGCGGCCATGCTGCTCTTCACCACTTTGCCAGAGGGTGTGGTGGGGAACGGGCTGTACCTGTGGGTGCTGGGGCTGAAGATGTGGAGGACGGTGACCACGCTCTGGTTCCTCCACCTGGCTTCCTGCTACCTCCTCGTCACCCTGCTGATCCCCTTCTTCGTCGTCTACCTCTTCCTGGATTTCCACTGGGTCTTCAGCATGGCCATGTGCAAGCTCCTGAATGCCTGCATCTCTATGGACATGTTCTCCTCTGTCTTCCTTCTCGCTCTCATCAGTCTGGATTGCTACACACTCACCTGCTACCCCATCTGGTCCCGGCATCACCGCACTCTGACCCAGGCATGAAAACTGGCTGCAGGTGTGTGGCTGGTCTCCTTCGCTCTCAGCACTCCCTACCTGGCTTTCTGGGACACCCATGTGGATGCGGGCAGGATCACCTGCATCAATAATTACACCCTCTCCAGAGACTGGAATGGAGCTGAGATGCAGGACCTGGGGAGATGGGTCTACCTGGCCGTCTTCACAGTCCAGTTCCTGCTGGGCTTCCTGCTTCCCTTCTGCACCATCACGGGCTGCTACGTGTGCGTGGGGCTGGAGCTGAAGGTGAAGGGCCTGGCACAGAGTGGGAAGCCCTTCAAAGTAATGGTGGCTGTGGGGGTGTCCTTCTTCCTCTGCTGGCTGCCCTACCACCTCTACTATGGCTTGATGTTCTACAGAAATGTGCCGCAGTCAGTAACAGGCAGCTTCCTGGTCATTTTCATCATCATGTTCTGCTTCAACGTCTGTTTCACCCCAGTCCTCTACCTTTTTGTAGGGGGGACGTTCCAGCAGGTAGCAAGGACATCTCTTGTTGCTCTGGTCAAAGCAGCTTTTGATGAGGATCTCAGTAGTGATGGGTCTGGACCTGAATCTAGTAGGAGACATGGGCCAGAAATTGACACCATGGAAATGGAGAAAAACTTGGAATCTTGTGGGTTCTAGAGTCTTGGATATTCTGGACATGAGTTCCAGATGTCTCGATGTTTTAAAACTGAATAGAGTCCCTTGGGTTCTAGATTCCTAGCTAGCCCCATAATCATATGTGTTCTACGTTTCTTGGTGTGTTTAAAAAATCCAGTAGGGTTCAGAAGGTTCCAGGTTCCGGTTTGGTTCTAGAACCCAGGAGGTGCCATGTCTACAAATGGTTTTAAACTCGATAGGCTCCCATGGGTTCTAGATTCCAGGCTGGCACTACAACCTTGGTAGTTTTTATATGTCCAAATAGTTTTGCACAGCATAATATCCCATGGATTCCAGATCTCTCAATGTGCCAAAGCCAGGTAGGGTCCTGTGGGCTCTAGGTTTCTGAGTAGTACTAAAATCATGATTTCTGAATGATTTAAAACTCTGTGGTGTCTTGTGGGTTCCAGAATCCTGGCTGTTTCTAGAAACTTCTGTGCTCTCAAAGTATTAAAACCTGATCAGATACCATTTGTTCTACAATGTCATCAGTTCTAAAGCCAGTCAATGTAGTAAAACCGATTTAATGGTGGGGTTCTAGGCTCCTGTCTGGTTGTATAACCTCATGGTTCTAGGTCTGTCAATGGTTTTAAATATCCAGAACAGTGATCTAATTAAAAGAAAACCCCTCCTCCTGCTGTATCTAAAATAGAGAAGACTCTCCATTCTGCTGACGAAGTGCATGGACCAATGATCTCTCCTTCTAGAGCTGTGTTTTTTCAGAAGTCCAAGTTCTGTGGCTTCATTGCAGGAGATTCTTATAAAAACACCAAGGGCTACAGACCTCCGCTTTCTAAAGTGGTCCATCATTTTGGTTGCCTGTAAATTCTGGAGGTTCCTGACATGCAACTCCTTCAAAGAGCCCTGCTTTTCAGAAAGAGCTGAGTCGTTGTTCTCTGAAAACCTGGTCCCTGTAAGTGGTGTCAAGATGGGCACACCACCCCCAACCATGGAGACACTGAAAATCACTAGTTTGGGAAATTGATCCCGAAATCCAGTGGGAGCATGGAGTGAACAAGCCAGATCTTGTGTTGATATAAATCAGTATAGCTCAGTTATCCTCGGTTCAGAACTCATGGATTCTATTCCCAGCTCTGTGAGGGGAGAGGGGTTTAGTGGTTGGCGGCAGAGATGGGGTGCAGGACTCCTGGGTTTCATCCCCAGCTTTGGGAGGGTCATAGGGTCTAGTGAGTTAGAGCAGGGGGGGGCTGGGAGCTAGGACTCCTGGGTTCCTTCCCAGGTTTGGCAGGGTCATAGGGTCTAGTGGTTAGAGTGGGGGGTGGGGGTGGGAGCAAGGACGCCTGGGTTCTATCTTTGGCTCAGGGAGGGGAGTGGTGTATTCCGTGCTTTGACCTCTCCGGTTCATCGCTCCCAGCAACACGCTGAGGGCCAGCCTCTGCTACAACACCCCCGCCCCCTTCCCTGTAACACTGTCTTTGTGCAACACCCTGCAGCGGTGAGATGAGCCCGGAAGTCTCTTTTGCAAGCAGGTGTCTGAACACTTCCCCCCCCCCCGCCCCCTCCTGCTGCGGGCAGAGCCATGTGCAAGGGGAGATGCTGGCCACCTGCTCGCTGGGGTCCAGAAATGGGCTGGTCCCACATCGGCCACTGGGGTCTGCCGAGGTGGGGGGAGCTGGGATCTGCATGGGGTTGGGGGAAGAGGAGCTTGGATCCGGCTAGGGGACAAGCTGGGAGCTGTGAAGGGTAAAACTAGGTCAGGGATCTACCGAGGGGGATCTGGGATCTGCGCAGGGCAAGGCCAGGTCAGGGATCTGCAGAGGCCATCAGCCCTGTGCAGTGCAGGTTGGGAAACTGCTATGGTAGGAAACAAGATGTGACCTGGGTCCTTCCACCAAGCTCTGGAAGGGGAAGTGCCCGTTGCTCAGAAGAACCCTTCAGACGTGGGACCCAACCCCATGAGGGAGCTGAGCTGCTCCGGGCCATCGACTCCTCCGGCGGTGGTAGGGGAAGAGGTCGCTCCTTTCCCCTGGTGCCCACCCAATACATAGCCAGGTAAGCTTGGATTCCCTTTGAGCAAAGAGGGCTACGAGTCAGGACTCCTGGGTTCTAACCCTGGCTATGGGAAGGGAGTGGGGTCTAATGGTTAGAGCAGGGGCTGGCTGGGAGCCAGGACGCCTGGGTTCTATCTTTGGCTCTGGGCGGGGAGTGGTGTATTCTGTGCTTTGACCTCTCCGGTTCATCGCTCCCAGCAACACGCTGAGGGCCAGCCTCTGCTACAACACCCCCACCCCCCTTCCCTGTTACACTATCTTTGTGCAACACCCTGCAGCAGTGAGATGAGCCCGGAAGTCTCTTTTGCAAGCAGGTGTCTGAACACTTCCCCCCCCCCCCGTCCCTGCTGCGGCAGAGCCATGTGCAAGGGGAGATGCTGGCCACCTGCTCGCTGGGGTCCAGAAATGGGCTGGTCCCACATTGGCCACTGGGGTCTGCCGAGGTGGGGGGAGCTGGGATCTGCATGGGGCGGGGGAAGAGGAGCTGGGAGCTGTGAAGGGTAAAACTAGGTCAGGGATCTGCCGAGGGGAATCTGGGATCTGCGCAGGGCAAGGCCAGGTCAGGGATCTGCAGAGGCCGTCAGCCCTGTGCAGTGCAGGTTGGGAAACTGCTATGGTGGGAACCAAGATGTGACCTGTGTCCTTCCGCCAAGCTCTGGAAGGGGAAGTGCCTGTTGCTCAGAGGAACCCTTCAGACGTGGGACCCATCCCCACGAGGGAGCTGAGCTGCCCCGGGCCATCGACTGCTCCGACAGTGGTAGGGGAAGAGGTCGCTCCTTTCCCCTGGTGCCCACCCAATACATAGCCAGGTAAGCTTGGATTCCCTTTGAACAAAGAGGGCTACGAGTCAGGACTCCTGGGTTCTAACCTTGGCTCTGGGAGTGGAGTGGGGTCTAGTGATTAGAGCATGGGGAGGCAGCTGGGAGTCTGAACTCCTGGGTTCTATCTCTGGCTCTGGGAGGGGAGTGGGGTCTAATGGTTAGAGCAGGGGCTGGCTGGGAGCCAGGACCCCTGGGTTCTCTCCCAAGCTCTGGGAGGGGAGGGGAGTCTAGTGGTTAGAGCACCTGCATAACTGACATGTCTGCTGGCAGTTCCCAGGTTTCGTAAGAGGGCTGGTTCACTTTGCACAACTGGGTGATGCTCCCTTTCCCTGCCTGCGAGGGGTGGGGGCAGGGGCGGGCTCAGTGCCCTTGGGGTCAGAATCTGGTAATCTAGGCCCAAAGGGGGGAAGTTGTGGTGGTGACTGTGAGACCACAGAGCTGTGTGGTTTCCCAACACTTTTTCCGGGATGGGGCGGCTGGGAGTGTGGGTGGGGGATGAGGATAGAGTTTGCGGGGGAGGAGCAGCATGATGGGGGAATGAGGGGGCCAGGAGTTTGGGGAGCTGGGGGATGAGGGGTCGGGGGCATGGAGCAATGGTGAGGTTGGGAGGAGGGACTGGGAGTCCAGGGAAAGGGGGGATTTGGGGGAGGTGGGGGATGGGTGAAGGTGTGAGGAGGCTGGGGCCAGAGGAGAGGTAGCAGTTGGGGGAACGACGGGGTCCTGTGGCCAATGTCTCACTGGGCCTCTTTCACACACCCCCAGCAGCCTCCCTCGCCTCCTAGCCATGAACGGCTCCCGTGCCCCCCACAACGCCACCGGGGCTGTGGAGGACACCATGCGGCACATAGCCATCAGCACCAATGCCCTGGTATTGGGGCTGGGCTTGGCCGGCAATGGGCTAGTGATCTGGATCACCACCGCTGGCCGGGCCGGGCCGCCCACCTTCCCCTCAGCCTGCTACCTCCACCTGGCCGTGGCCGACCTGCTCTTCTCTGCCGGGCGCATCCCTGCCATCGTCCAGGAGGCCTTGAGGTCCCGCTGGCCCTTCGGCCGAGCCCTCTGCAAGCTTCACTCCTTCACTCGCTACTTGGTTGTCTTCGCCGGCGTCTTCGTGCTCACCCTCATCAGCCTCCACCGCTGCCTGCTGGTGGCTCAGCCTGTCTGGGTCCGGAACCACCACAGGCCCCGGATTGGGTGTTGGCTGATCGCTGGGGCCTGGTTCCTGGCCATCTGCTTCAGTGTCCCCTACCTGGTGTTCAGGGACGTGGAGACCAGACAGGGGGAGTCCTTCTGTGTCTACCAGAGACACCTGCGGCATTTCGTCGAGATGCCCCTGAGGCTGAGCCGGTTCCTGGGCGGGTTTCTGGTCCCTTTCGCCATCATTGCCACGTCCTACATGGTCTTGACCTGGAAGCTGAGGAGAAGAAGCTGGGCGGGCTCCCGGCGGACCTTCACCTTGGTGCTGGCCGTGGTGGCTCTCTTCTTTGTTTGCTGGTTGCCCCATCACATCCTGGTGCTGCTCAGTACGTACCAGGCGGACAAAAAGATCTGGGGCGTGGCGCTCAAGTTGGCCAATGCCTTGGCCTACCTCCATAGCTGTCTCAACCCTGTGCTGTATGGGCTGATGGGGTACGCCCGGAGCAGAGGGCGCCGGAGGGGCTCCTTCCTGGGCATCTTCCGCAGGGCCCTGGCTGAGGAAGAGGAGGGTTCGGGTGGGATGGAGGCGTCACAGAGCATCAGACAGACTAGTTGAGAGTGGAGGACTTGGGACTCCTGGGTTCTATCCCCAGCTCTGGGAAGGGAACAGAGTCTAGTGGGTTAGGGCTGGGTGAGCGAGGAGTCAGGACTCCTGGATTCTATTTTCCAGGTCTCCCATTATTTCGTTATGAGTGTGAGCTAAGACCAATCTCTGAATCTGTCTCTCGCCTTCTGCTTCCATTTCCTCATCCATAAAATGGGGTAGTAATCCTTCTGTTGTCTATTTAGGCTGTAAACACAATGGGGCATGGACAGTCACTCTCTGTGTGTCTGTGCAGTGTCCAGCACAATGGAGGGCTTTGAGCTCGTTCGGGGTCTGTCTGTGTTGGGGATTAGGAGACAGATTCATCAGAACTGTAAGTCTTTGTGTGAATGGCTCAGTTTTGTGGAGTTGATTGAATCAAAAAAGTTTTGGAAGAAAACTTTCAAAGTTGTCACAAGCTCATGTTTTGAAATGTCCAAAATGAAAATTCCACCTTTCCGGCCCCAAATGCTTTTTTTCTTTTTTAAATTTAGGCTAATTTGTGTTTTTAAAAAGTTTTCAAATGGTCAACATTTAAAATGAAACATGTTGAAATGATCAAACCAAAATATTTTGATCAACCCAAATTGAAATTCCCCTCCCCCCCCCCCCGATTTTCATGTTTGTGAACATTTTTGAGATTTTTTTATGTTTCCTCCCCATTTCGCACTGGAAATTTTTTCAAAATCTCCCCCCAAAATGTTGCAGGCCAGGAAATACCTGCTCAGATTTACAGATTATTTCAGAACGTCTTACTGTGGAGTTGGGACTGTGTGTGAGACAGACACAAGTTGCATTAAAGCCAATGGGTGTCCTAAACACTCTGCTTCAGGCTCAATGGAAGGAGAAATGAAGCCAATTTATGGAGTAGAGAGAGATACAGGCAGTGGAAGCTACCACCCAAGGCATGTGTCCGGTCAGAGCTGGGCCGTGTGGGTTATTCCCTGGTTGTGAACACGGTGGTGAAGAGAGTGGCTGCAGACATGTGC